GGAGGGAGGTCGCATCTTAGCTGTGTGACTTTGGACTTCTTAAGCTCTGTGAGGCTCAGAGTCTGCATCTGTAAAGTGCAAAACTCACACAGATCCTATCATAGCCAGAGAGGGTTAGAAGAAGTGATGCACGTAGGTACACTGAGTGCGTATATCACCTAGAACATGGAAAACATGCAATACATACTAGTGGTCATTATTATCATTGCTGTTTTTGTTTTAATGCTTCCCAGCCTCCCCCAGACTGACTGGGAGGGAGCAGGCTGCTGTCAGTTTGGGGAGATCCCAGAGCTACAAAATGGCTCGCAGCTAGGTCCAGAAGAAGGCCCAGTCCTGGGAGGGGGCAGCTGGCTTCTCTCTGATCCCAGGGCTCCAGCTGGGCTGCCAGGCCCAGTGGCTGAGCCCTACAGCCCCTGCAGCTAGAGGCTGTTTCCCACCGCAGCCAACATGGCGGCAGAGGAAAGCCTACCCCCAGAGTACTCGTGAATTCTCCCCGACTCTGAAATGTGTAGGAGCAAGGCCCAGCCTGTGAGGCTTCCCTGGGGGTGTTGAAGGGGCCCCATGTGACAGGGCCACACTCTCAAGCCCTGGGGGCCTCAGAATCCCCCCCCAGCCTTCCTCCATTCACTTCTCTAGTACCACTCTTGTGCTGGTTCTCTTGGAGCCTGCTCCTCTTCCTCCTGCTCCTCACCCTTCATTTATCCCTCCCACTGGCCTTCCCCAGAGCTCTGGTTCAGGATGCGGATCTGCCCTTTCTAGAAGCCACGCCTCTGCTCTTCTGTTTCTTCAGTATCCCGGCCAGACCACTGTTTCCTGCACCCTGTCCCTTTCACGGCAAGAGGCTACCTACAGGATAACCCACACAGAACTAGCACCCAGGCTCTCTCCTCATCCCCCATCCCCTAACCTTCCTTGGGTACTGCTGGTGATGTCTTTTTTGCCTTTCATCCTTTGCCTTGAGTTCAAGTCCTGCCAATCAATCCTCTTTCCATTCCCCCATCAGGGCACAGGAATTTTCTTCCTTAGAGAATAGCTAGGACTTTTGGGTTCCTTTTAGCAACTAGACCAGCTGTGGAAGCTGATAGATGATGGAGACACACCTCCAGCTTTATCCTAGAGGGCGGGGACTTCCGCTCCCCTCTCCTGTGCGTCTTCCTTGCTGATGCCCACTGGGGCCTGTTACTCTCTATCAAGATGTGGCAGCTGCTTCTCTGGCTGTGGTCTGCATGTCCTTCCCTCTGGTCTCTGGGGTGACATTTTCCAATGGCTGCTTGGGAAACCAGCCACTCCTGCTCCAGGGTGAGGAAGGCCCAAATCTGGCAAAGACAAACAGCTAGTAACCTCCCTTTGCTGCTGGATCTGGGAGAGTAGCCCCAAGAACAACACACCTCTTTCTCTTCTCAGGAGAACCCCCGGGACTCTCACCTCATCCTCCTACAGCCACAGTTGCCTCCACTCCAGGTGGGAGGAAGTCCCCTCCTAATTGGCAGGAGTGGCCAAGCTGCAATATTCACATCCCCACACAATGCCATGGTCCCCAAAGCGCAGACAGGGAGGAAAAGAAACAACCTGGAAATTAACAGGCCAGATAGAGCTTGACGCATAGTCTATTTGTAAGAAAATTAAAGATTTGCTTCTCAGATGTTGGGGGCCATGCTCTTACCAGACAGCTGGCAAATGGGAGAGATTGGGAATGATGGAATAGATCAAATTATTTAAATGAGAAAAATAAATTCACACACAGCCTAGCCGCTGCCGGTGACAGATCCGTTTTATTTATCTACTGTATCGGCACCGCTTTGTCTCTGTCAAAAAGGTCATTAAACTCGCCTAACTGCGTAATTCGCAGCCTCCTGCTCCAGACTCGCTCCACAGCTCTTCCCTTCCCTCGACACCCAGCGCCACTTGAAAAAAAATTTATTATTGCTAATAAACAAGGTTTTTTGTTTTTTTCTTTTTTAACCCTTTCTAGCTTGCTCCCCCTACGGGTCCTGTTCCATCCCACGGAATATGACAGTTTCTCTTTATTCTTTCTCAGGAGGGATGCAGGCCAGTCCCTCCTGCATGGCTGGAGAAGAGGGATGGGAAGTACCAGGGTACATCTCAGCCACCCCTCTGAATCTAAGGATGCAGCTGTCTTTCTCCGACGCCCCTGTCGTTGCAATGCACGGTCCAGTCTTGTCTTCCCCAGCAAAGGGTCTGGCCTGGGCTCTCCTGCCCCTACCAGCGCCTGCGGCTCCCCTAGCCCAGCTTGGACAATTCTCTGTGAATTCTGTCTCCCCAATCCACAGCCCCAACTCTGCTTCCACGAGGGATGGGGTTAGGGAGGGAAACCGGCTCTTGGGTCCGTCTCCGGCCGCCGCCGTCCAGCCACCGCGGGCGACGTGCGAGCTGGAAGGCTAGACTCTGTAGACCGCGGGCTCCGAGTCTCTTTGCTCCTGGAGGGCGCGTCTTCAGCTGGTCGGGCCGCTAGGCTGCCGCGGTCTTCCAGCTCGCGGTGCCAGCTCTCGTGCTCCACGCTCCCAGGCTCCGTGCCCTAGCAGTTGAAGGGACTGGGGGGTGGCAGGGCGGATGGGGACGTCTGGGAAGCGAGGCGAGTCCTCGTTCTCCGGGCGTCCCCCAAACCGCGTCCAGGGTCCCCTTCCCCGCCCCCTGCGCAGGTGTGAGCGCACGAGTGTCGCCTCAGCGGGTGTGAGTGTGAAGTGTGTGTGCGCGGGGGAGCACGCGGAGGGAGCGCAGGCGGCGGGTGGCGCAGGAGGCGGGAGGCAGGGCGCGGGGGAGGGGGCTGGGAGGGAGTGTGTGCGCGCGTGCAACTCCACTCCGGGGCTTTGTGCGAGCCCGGGCGATAGCATCGGCGGCGGCAGGAGGAGGAGCGGCCGGAGACGCGTGCAGCCCTCCCGCCAGCGCCCGGCAGCCGGGGCAGGTGGGAGCCCGCGCGGGAGCGGAGCCGAAGCGAGCCGCAGTCGAGTCCGAGCGGAGTCCGGGCGGAGCCCAGAAGCCTTGCTCGCGGGCGGCCCGTGGGCGGCAGCCGGGCGGGGCGGGCGCCCGCGGGGCGGCCCCCCAGTAAGATGTGCGCGGCGCCGCGGGGCGCCCCCCACTCGCAGCGGCGCTCACGAGCGGGGCAGCTGGGCCAGGCGGCGCCTCGGGGGCTGCTGCGCGCCCGCGCCTAGAGCTGCCGCCCCAGGGAGCCCGCCACGGCCGCGCCCCGGGCACGCTCGGCGGCGCCCAACGATGACCGCTCCCTGGCGGCGCCTCCGGAGTCTGGTTTGGGAATACTGGGCCGGGCTCCTCGTGTGCGCCTTCTGGATCCCGGACTCACGCGGGATGCCCCACGTCATCCGAATCGGTAAGGGCTCCCCGGAGCCGGGGGTCTCCGTGCGTCTGGGCGGGGCGGGAATGGGGGGCCTCTGAACGCGATCCCAAGAGATTTCCCCGACCTCTTCGTGCTGCCGGGGCCGGGTGACCACCAGGAGCTCTTCCCTGTGAGGACAAAGTTCCAAAGCCGGGGTCACGGGCCTTTTTAATCAGGGAGGCTGCAGCCCGGCCGCGGCGAGTAAGGGCCAGGGGCCCTGGTCGCGCTCCTGGGAGGCCAGACCTGGCGGAGTGTAGCGAAGCGTTTCAGCCCCAACTCGAGTGGCGGGCGCGTTTCCCGGCCACTGCCAGCGCGACCGGCCGCGGACCGAGTTCTGACACCCGGCTTCTCCGCGGAGAGGGAACCCTGGGGAAGGCGCCAACTTCTTCTCCCTCCTCGCTTCCCGCGGGCCCCTCGCCCCCACCTGGGGCTTGGCTCCAGCGGCCGCGGCGGGAATGCGGGATACGGCTTCGCATGTCGGGAGCAGCCCGTCTCCTCTCCCGGTGGCCGCCCTTGGCCTCGATAGCCCGCGTTCAGCCCCGTGGCGTGGGGCAAGGGAAGGGCAACCCCGTTGGTCGCTCCAGTCACCCCTCGCCACGGAGCCCTCTCCCCAGCCTGGGGTAGAGCTGGCTGGGGGAAGGGAGCAACGGAGCCTGCCCAATGTAGCCGGGGATGGCGGCGAGAGGGACGCGGGTGGTTTTTAAAGTTAGCCGAAATCCCTCCGCAGCTGGCGGCGGCTGGCGGGGCTGCGCGCGGCTCTTTGGGGCTCTGGCGTCTCCGCGTCTCTTCTCGTCGGAGACTCTTACTTTGGAGCGTTAACTTTGTTGTGGCCGCCCCCGGCGCCCTGTAGGCAGCGCTCTGGGCAGTGCAGGGCGTGGGGGAGCAGCGAGGGGGAGCGGGAGGGGCGGGCGGGAGGCGGTGCTGCGTGTCCCAGGCCTGCGACCGCCAGGGCTGGGCCCGGCCTGGACACGCGGGAGCCTCCGCCACGCAGGCCCTGCACCCGCCGCCAGGCCGGAGACCTGGGCCAGGTGCCACCGCCAGCATCTGGCAGAAGGCAGGCAGAGCTCTGCTAAGTCAGGGCCACCTTCCTGCCCTGTGGCTCTTCTCTAGGTGCGGTTCCTGGGCTGCCGGAGGCGTGAGAGGTGCAGGGAATCAGCGTCAGGCTTGGTTTCATACTTGAGGTTTTCCTAGGAGACAGTCAGAAATCCTGGGGGTCTGTCTCATCCGTGGCTCTCTCCAGGATCGCAGAACCCCTTGGGTTCGACATCTGGATGGGGGTAGAACACAGCCCTCAGCTCTGGCAAGGCTGGGGTCTTTCAGTCTGTGCCCAGGATCCTGGCAGACCGCACACCTGGAGGCAGAGGAGCACCATCATTGGACTCTGGGGACAGCCCTTAGGGTCAGATTTAACCCTTTGCACCCCCGGGGGTGTTCCTGTCAAGTAAAAAATATCTTCTATCTCTGCTCCAGAGCCTAGTTTGGTCACCATTTCAGGGGCAGGCAACGCCTTAGTGGTGGGCCAGCAGTTCCTGTATTCCCTCTTTCTTTCCCTTTTTTTGGGGGGCCTGCATGGTAGGGTGCCCTTGGGAGAAAAGGAGATACCCAAAAGGTGCTCTCTGCTCAGCCCATGGATTGTAGGTTCCTCTTCCATGGTCCTGCCTCTGCAGGGGTAGGATGGGCATGCTCTCAGCCCAGCCGCAGAGATGGAGGTCTTCCGGGACCCAGGAAGACAGCAGTAGGTGAGAGCAGCCCCAGAAGAACGGCCTAAGAGAGGCAGGATGATGTATCCTCACCTGCCCCCTCTTCCTGTGAAATTAACTTGCACTGGGGGACTCCTCACTGCCTTGAGGGGAAGTCCCAAGCCTGCCCGCCCTATCTTGGGTTCAGCGTGTAATAATGCAATTAAGGATGGCAAAGCCCTCTTCTCTTCTAATCTTCTTCATATTAAGCCCCAGGATTAATTAGCGTGTCGGCCCAGGCCATTTATATCTGAGAGCCTGGCCCCATTTGATTCCCAGCCCCGGGAATGGGGTGCCGTGCCGATGCCAACATGACCACCTCCTGGAGCTACGCCAGCTTGGACAGAGGATGGAGAGGCTCTGAGGCCCCTGGGCTTTTCTGGAACTTCCTGGGGAGCTGAACTTCTGTCCTTCTGAGCTCAGACTCGAGCCTCAGCTGGAGCCAGGGAACTACGGTGGACGGACGCAGAGAGAGAGAGAGAGAGAGAGAGAGAGAGAGAGAGAGACAGAGAGACTTTCATGTTGAAACCCAAACATACTACTTTGGCTGGGCCCAATGCCATCTTCCTTTTCTCACCCCTCCCCACCCCTGTGATTTCTGGGCGCTGGCTGGGGCTCCAGGAATTAAGTACCCAGATATTGGGCTCCAGAGTGTGCTGGGTGCTTCTGGTTTCTGAGAGTGGCGCCTGAGCCGGCTGCACTTGGAGCCCAATCCTTCTCTAGCAAGCAGGCGTTGCCGAGCACCAGCCAGGGAGAGGGTTTTCCTGCAGGTGCGCAAAGGGCTGCTCTGGGCTGGGGAGCATCTTACCGCCCCCTCTCTTTGTGCCTCTTTTGGGGGCTGAAATTTCCTTTTAGACAAGGAGATGGATAGCTCAGCAGTGTGACAGAGTGTTCAAACAACCCTTCTTGAATAGATGAATTGCATTGCTCTGTCTTTTTGTAATTGTGTCTATCAGAGGGAGAGGTCAAGGCATTGATTGCTTGGATGGTTTGCAAGTAACAAAGGAGAGAGTGAGGGAGAGAGAGTAATTGGATTGTAGTCTGCGGGGGGAAAAATAGTCATTGATTATTTTATATGAATATGTGGAAGATGTATTCTGCGTGTGATTATCAAGTGTTGCTCGTTGAAGGTTTTCAAGGCATATTGTTCGGCATTTTATTATTATTATCATCATTGTTATTATTGTTCAGATGGATCCTGGTCTGAACTCATAGAAAGCAGTTTAATGCATGGGTCCTTTCAGCCAAATAGGCTTCAGTGACCTCATGTGGGGACTTGGGTTTTCTTGTGCGTTGTTACCTAGCAGTTGAAGTGGAGGGGACCTAGGCTGGGAGCCAGGAGGCCTGGGTTTTCTGCTCTGTCTTCCCAGCCTACTGGGCCACCTTGGTCAAATCACACTATCCCCCAACCTCGAGCCTCGGTGTCCTCATCTGTAAACTGTTGGGTGGACCATGATGGCTTGGGCTATTCTGTGGCCTCAGAGTTCCTTTCAACGCAGGCTGGTGGGGACCGTCAGCGCCATAGTAGATTTCATGGTTAGATCCGTTGTGGTTCGTGTGGCTCCCTCATGTTACAGACATACTGTAGGATCGAGGGCCAGCCTAGGATTTGAAAGGGGAACCAGACAGCGGGGGCAGCAGCTCCAGGGCATGATGGTGATCTCAAGTCAGCTAGGGGGAAGGTTCAGAGCCCAGAGACTGCAGAGACATAAAGTAGGTGTGTGTGTGTGCATGCGTGGGGAGTGGGGGAGGGGGGAAGGGGAGCTGGGGAGGAGGCTCGGCTCAGCTCCGCCCCTCAGAGCATCTACTGACAGAGCTGATCGGAGCTATGAGTCCCCGAGCCTAGGCTGGGGGGCCCAGCAGGCAAGTGCAGCCTGTCCCAGGGGAGTGAGGGTCCCTCCCCCAGAGTTCCCAAACCAGCCCTGCCTGCATCTCCTCCCATCAGTTCACCCAAATGGTCCTGAACTTTTGTCTTCTCAGTTTGGGGGCCGCTTAGTGTAAAACAATGAGAAATTTCTCACAGTGACTGGTGATGCGCTGAAACATCACGCCTTGTAGGAACCGACAGGAGCTGAATGAAGATCAATAGGGTTTTCCCCTCTGGAAGTAAATAGCTTCAGACAAGACCTGGGAGTGGCCCGAGGGGCCTTCGAAAGCATTAACTTGAGGAATTTCTGCCTCCACTTTCTAGCCCAGCTGTTCCTGTCAGCCAGGGCTTCCCTCCTTCTCTGAGCTGGAGTTTAATTTCTTCCTGATGCCTCCTGCCTCGCACTGCGCTAAACAGCCTTTTGACGTCAGGATGATCTGGGGTTTTTAGAAGTGGTTTATGCAGGATGAGCCAGGCAATGCGTCCCGACCAGGCTCTTCCAAGGTCACTTGCATCCCCCTGCCACGGAGCAGCACAGCTGACTTCAGACATCCAGCCTGCAGTGCTATTTCGAAAGGATTTTGAGGCGCCGGCTGCTCTACATCCCCACCCCTTCGGGAATGCAAGGCTTCTTGGCTGCTTTTAAGATCTTTGTGGGGTCTGTGAGCTTCCCAGAGTCCCTGCATTCCCACAGGCACTCTCTGTCCCTGCCCCAGGAAACAGAGTCCCCTCCGTGGGGGAGGAGGCACAGATGCCCCTGTGGGCACTAGAACAACCCTTCCTCTTGGGGGAGGTGCCAGGCCGTATGCAGAGGTGGCTGCAGGGCTGCTTAGGTGCTCGTATAGGGGGAGACCCGGTTGTGCCCAACAACTGAAGCCAAGCTTCCTCTACCCTGATATCTGCCCTTGCCACTGCCTTCCGCGGTTGCAGCCTGAGTCCCACTTTGCTTGCTCAGGACCCTCCAGAGGGAACTGAAAAAGCTGATGCCCCACTTGGCTGGGTAGCAGAGAGGAGCCCGGAGCTCCGCAGGCCCCAGCCTGTCAACAGGGAGGACTGCAGCTCCAGGATCAGGGACCTTCTTCTGGGGCCAGCACCCAGCAAGCCCTGGCTTATCTTCTGGAGGCTGCTATGATGGGGCTGAAGCTTTGGCTGGGCGGCTGGGCCAAGGGCCGGGTGCATATGGGGTCTTTGCAGGGGCTTGTTGGCTTGAACAGCTCTTCTCCCAGGTGCTGATCCCCAGCAGGAGCACCAGGGGGCAGTGTGCCTGTGCTGAGGTAACCGGTTGGTCTAGTCTCCAGCCTGGGCCCCCCTGGGTGTGGAACACAATCAAACTAATGAAACAACAACACTACAACAATACACCCCCGCAATTTATTTGAGCACTTATT